AAATACCATCTTAAGCTAAACCAAGGAAAAGGAGTTTTTCAGCTTCTAGGTGGTAGAGGCAAGTTATGGGTAGTTGACCGGAAAAAATGTGGTAAACAAAGTTGTTGAGTACGCTTTGTTATGTAGATTTAAGTCAGTACCATTACCACAGAAAAATAATTAAGAGTCCTCTTCCTGGTACAAGTGAGAAAGACTTCCTTTACCAATGTAAATTTCCTTTATGAATATAATTTTCCTTTACAAAAGAAAAACTCTACCCTGTTTTTAGCGCTTTGCCTGCATCTGCTGGTTCTTAATGGACTTTAGTTTAAAATAATCCAAATGCCCAGTAGGCATGCTTTGGGGTGGCATATTCTGGTACTCTTCAGTCAAACGCTCCACAGAAGGAGCAACTTGAACACACTACTTTCAGTCAAGCCTCAAGCTGATCAAATTCTGTGAACATGACACTTAGGAACACTCCAGGTACATCATCTGTTAGTTAACATGAAAACTAAGCACTTGTATACACTAAAATGTCATTTGTTTGCTGTTCTGTTTTATCACATGCCATGGAAGAACAGGAAAAAGTGTTCACTATAATTTTACTTTGTTTTATTATGAAATACTTCAACAAACGAAAGAAAGTAATGATGGAATGAGCACTCGTACTTTTGTTCTTTAAACAATCCATTGCATTTCTACTTTCCAGCTACATTTATCATTTCTAAAATTTATATTTTATTTCCAGATTTTCAGACTGATCTTATCGTTTCCGATAACCTTTCGATACTTGACTACATTTTAAAATTACTTTTTATTTCTTAAAATGCATTAAGCTCTTATTCTATATTCAGTATCTATCATTAAAGGATCTCCAGAATTTCTTAGTTTTTTTGTTGCTGTTTCTGCTGTTCTTTTTCATAGATCTTTTTACATGAGTTTTATCTATTTTAAAAATGTATTTCAATCATCTAAAGTTTATTTGGAAGAACTCTTTAATGCCCAAGTTTAAGTGTTTTAAGAGATTTGGGGTATGCACCAGCCAAACGCTATACAAAAATGTTTTCGTTCATTTTTTTTAGTTTTGGAAAGGCTACAGAGATGGTATATATACACACACACACACACACACACTCACACACACACACACATATATATATATATATATGTAGGTTTGAGAATATATATACCCCAAATCTATATAATAACCAAATTATATACCTAAATTATACACCTCAAACCTATATAATAAAGGATTTTGGTTAGAAAATTGAAGAGCTAGCATCACAGCTATTCCCTCCAGACCTGAAACCCAAGGCGGAGGTGGCTGCCTTTCTTTCTCTCTGTGGGGTTCGTTGGCTTCAATGCTCCTTTTTTGGTCTCCATTTGATGATGAGTGCTCTTCAGTGTCCCTAGCTCTGTGTGGGGGTCTTGGATGGATCTCCCGAACTCTGTGTGGGGGTCTTGGCTGGATCTCCCGAGCTCTGTGTGGGGGTCTTGGCTGGATCTCCGACCTTGAGTAGGTCCTGGGCTTTGCTTTTTTCCCTATGTCAAGCCCATTAAAACAAAGGCCTGGGAGCCATCAGGGTTGACAGAATACCCCAGGATCGCTGTTGGCTTTAAGACTTTGCCACTTCTCTGAAGTCTAGATTTTTCATTGTTTTTGTCCTCTGAGAGTTCTCTACAATTTTTTGTTTGTATGTAGCATGTTTTTAAAAATGTTTGGGGCCGCTGACGCGGCGGCGGCGGAGTCACCCGGGCGGCCTGGGACCGGTCACCGGTCAGCAGCCATCCATAGGCCTCGACCACCGCCTCCGTCCTCCATCCCCGGTCTTTTCCCTGGGGCCGAGGGACAGCAGCGCCGCCCACAGGGGCTCCCTCCCCTCCGGTTCTCCTGGGTGCCTCACCTGGGGCAGGCCGTTTTGTCCTCAGGGGCCGCCTCTGCAGGGCGAGGTTTCCGTGACGACCTTCCTGGGGCTGTGGTGGCGGCTCGAGCTCCTGGAACTTGCTCAGGCTCCGGAGGTCCGAGGCCCTGGAAGTTAACGCATCACCTCCAGACGCTGGCAGCGGGCGCGGGCTCTTAAAGGCGTCACACCCGGACTCTGCGGACTGGGCAACCTCCGCTCATCTTCCCATTGCGCCTCCAGCACCCGCGCGTTCTCCCGCCCCCTCCTCGGGGTCATTTTTCCTGACCCTCTCCGCTGACCTTTCCTCACTCCTCGGGTGAGGCAGTTCTCCTGGAAGTGAAGGTTATGAGCCGGAGCCTCCTTCCTGGAATTTCTCTGTGGAGGACCCTCCTCGTCCCCCGGCATCGGGGTGAATGCCCGGCACTGGTTCCACGACAACCCCACCCTGAAGGAATGCATTCGGGGGCCTACGCCATGCGCGGAGTCTACGTCCTGGACCCCTGGTTCCCCGGATCCTCCAATGTGGGCATCAACCGGTCGCGATTTTTGCTTCAATCTTGATGCCAGTCTACGAAAATTAAACTCCCGTCTGTTCCTGATTCGTGGACAACCAGCAGATGTGCTTCCCAGGCTTTTCAAGGAATGGAACATGACTGAACTTCCAATTGAGTATGATTCTGAGCCCTCTGGCAAGGAACGAGATGCCGCTATTAAGAAACTGGCAGCTGACACTGGAGTAGAAGTCATTATAAGAATTTCAGAGAACGAACCAAGATGGCCGATCGCTAACATCCCGGGATTGCAGCTCTCAGGGAAGGCGCGGAGAACTAGAGGGCGCCACACTTTCAGACAAAGTCTGGTTGCTCACGGAGCAGAAGATCCCCCACTGGTGGAAACACACGGGTCGCCAGCGCGACTCTCGTGGTCGGCACAGCGGTTCCGCCAGCACCTGAACGGGGCAGCGCTCGGCGCAGAGTAAACGGGACGGGTTCCCCTTCTGACCGAGGTTTGGAGCCCCGGGAAGGCAGAATCCGCTACCACGGAAACAAGAAGGAAGCCCGACAGGAGAATCCTGGGCAGAAAAGCACCATCAGTTTTAACGCCGCTGCTCTGGCCCTGGGAACTAACAACCTGGACGTCCACTCAAGAGACCTAAACTGAAAGTTGGTAACTTCAAAGAGACAGGAGGATAAATTTACAATGACGGGAAGAAACCAGCGTAAAAAAGCTGAGAATACTCAAAGTCAGAACGCCTCTCCCTCTAAAGATGATCACAGTTCCACATCAACAATGGAACAAGGCTTGATGGAGAACGAGCCTCTCCTGATGACAGAATCACTCTTCAAGGAATGGATAATAACAAACTTCGGTGAGTTAAAAGAACATGTTGTAGCCCAACGTAAAGAAACTAGGAACTTTGAAAAAAGGTTTGATGAAATCCTATTGAGAATAGACAACTTAGAGAGGAGTATGAGTGAATTAATGGAACTGAAGAATACAGTACAGGAACTCCGAGAAGTATGCACAGGTTTAAACACTGAATTGTTCAAGCAGAAGAAGGGATATCAGAGGTCAAAGTCCAACTTAATGAAATAAAACGTGAAGAAAAGATTAGAGAAAAAAGGATAAAAAGGAATGAGCAAAGTCTCCAAGAAATGTGGGACTATGTGAAAAGACCAAATTTACGTTTGATAGGTGTACCTGAATGCGACGGAGAGAATGAATCCAAGCTGGAAAATACCCTTCAGGATATTATTCAGGAAAATTTTCCTAAACTAGCAAAGCAGGTCAACATTCAACCCCAGGTAATACAGAGAACACCACAAAGATATTCCTCAAGAAGAGCAACCCCAAGGCACATAATCGTTAGATTCACCAGGGTTGAAACGAAGGAGAGGATACTAAGGGCAGCCAGAGAGAAAGGTCAGATTACCCACAAAGGCAAGCTTATCAGACTTACAGCAGATCTCTCAGCAGAAACTCTACAGGCCAGAAGAGAGTGGGGGCCAATATTCAACATCCTCAAAGAACAGAACCTTCAGCCCAGAATTTCATATCCAGCCAAACTAAGCTTCACAACTGAAGGAAAAATAAAATCTTTTATGAACAAGCAAGAACTCAGAGATTTTATTACCACCAGGCCTGCTTTACAAGAGCTTCTGAAAGAAGCATTACACACAGAAAGAAACAACCAGTATTAGCCTTTCTAAAAATACACCAAAAAGTAAAGAGCACCAACATAAAGAAGAATTTACACCAACGAATGGATAAAACAGCCAGTCAACATCAAATGGCAGTAACCCTAAATTTAAATTGACTAAATTCCCAATCAAAAGACACAGCCAAAACCCAACAGCATGTTACATCCAGACCGGTTTCACATGCAAGGATACACAAAGACTCAAAGGGATGGAGAAAGATTTACCAACCAAATGGAGAGCAAAAATAAATAATAAATAAATAAAAAGCAGGAGTTGCAATTCTTGTATCGGATAAAATAGATTTTAAAGCAACAAAGATATAGTGGTAAAAGGATCAATGCAACAACAAGAGCTAACGATCCTAACACCCAGATAGGAGACTTAGATTCAATGAGACAGAAAATTAATAAGGATATCAAGGACTCGAACTCAGATCCAGAACAAGTAAACTTAATAAATATTTATAGAGCTCTCCACTTCAAATTCACAAAATATACATTCTTCTCAATACCACATCACACCTACCCATAAGTTTAAATGAAACATTGATTGGCCACTATTAATACCCAATTTTTTTCAAAATAAAGCAATATTTCCATTTACTCTACCTCTTTCTCTTCCTCTTTCTTCCTCTCCTTTACTTATTATTTTTTTTTCTTTCCTTCTCTCAGAAAAAAAAGAAATCAACTTGTAAACCTCTAGATCCAGGTCGGCAATGTCTCTTTCATTGCTTGATTTCCTTTCTTCCCTACCCTCCCTCCCTCCCTCCCCGCTTCCTCCCTTCCTTCCTTCCTTCATCCCTTCCTTCCTCCCTACCGTCCTTCTTCCCTTCCTTCCTGCCTCCCCCCCCACCCAAAAAAAAAAAAAAAAAAAAAAAAAAAGAATTTCACGGACATTATATGACCTAGACAAGATCATGGAACTCAATGGTGGACAACTGCCTCTAACTTACCAGAGTCCAGACTCTCATCAGCAAAATGGAACCTCTAGAGATACCAGTAGAGACAATGTGACATGGTAATTGCCCCATAAACTGCAAACTCGTCCATGCCTCGGCTTTCGGTTGAAACTGCCCCCTGTAACCGTGATGTCATAGGTGAGCAGTCCAAACCCACGACGTCAAGGCCCCTGAAACTTGTAATAAGTAAGTAACTAAGGTCTGTAATTTCCACCTACCCAAACACTGTGCAAACCAACGCTTATCTTAACTTCTGTGAACCACTTAAGTAACAAAAATCGGAATGTCCGAAGCCTCTCGCCCTCACTCCCTCCCAGGAGGTGGTTTACAGGCATTAAAGGTCTTAACACCCTCCTTTCAGTGCCGCAGTTTAAAGAGAGGCAAGTCCTCCGTGGCCACTGACAATAAAAGCCCTGTAATTTGGCCTAGTCTTTGTCTCAGTGGCAATTTCAGGCTCCCACGGTTTCAACAATTACTTTAGAAGGGATACAGAAGTGCACAATTTCTCTGTCTGATGATCATAATGAGAAATATGGAGTCTCTTCACTGGGGGAGCTCGGTTTTGATACAGATTATCCTCTGCAGTGTGGCCAGGCGAAGAAATTGAAGCACTTACTCATTTGGAAAGAAAAGCTTGGGTGGCAAACTTTGAAAGACCTTGAATAAATGCAAACTCTCTGCTTGGAAGCCCTACTGGACTTGGTCCCTATCTCCGATTTGGCTGTTTGTCATGTCGGCTGTTTTACTTCCAACTAACAGATCTCTACCAAAGGGTAAAGAAGAGCAGCTCCCCTCCCCTTTCCCTTTATGGGAAACTGCTATGGCGTGAGTTTTTCTATACCACAGCAACAAATAATCCACGCTTCGATAAAATGGAAGGAAACCCTATCTGTGTTCAGATTCCTTGGGATAAAAATTCTCAGGCTTTAGCCAAGTGGGCAGAAGGCAGAACAGGCTTTCCCTGGATTGATGCCATCGTGACTCAGCTTCCTCAGGAGGGCTGGATTCATCATCTAGCCAGGCATGCAGTTGCTTGCTTCCTGACACGGGGAACCTGTGGATTAGTTGGGAAGAAGGAATGAAGGTATTTGAAGAATGATTGCTTGATGCAGATTGGAGCATAAATGCTGGAAGTTGGATGTGGCTGTCTTGTAATTCCTTTATTCAACAGTTTTTTTCACTGCTATTACCTTCTTGGTTTTGGTAGAACAGATCCTAATGGAGACTATATCAGGTGTTATTTGCCTGTCCTAAGAGGCTTCCCTGCAAAATATATCGATGATCCCTGGAATGCACCAGAAGGTATCCAAAAGGTAGCCAAATGTTTGATAGGAGTTAATTATCCTAAACCAGTGGTGAAGCATGCTGAGGCAAGTCGTTTGAATATTGAAAGAATGAAACAGATCTATCAGCAGCTTTCACAATATAGAGGACTAGGCCTTCTAGCTTCAGTACCTTCTAATCCTAGTAGGAATGGAAGCTCCATGGGATATTCTGGAGAAAAAATCCCAGGCTGTAGCAGCAGTGGACGTTGCTCTCAAGGGAGTGGTATTTTACACTGTGCCCATGGCGACATTCAGCAAACTCACCTATTGAAGCAAGGAAGAAGGTCAATGAGCACTGGTCTTAGTGGTGGGAAACATCCTAGTCAGGAAGAGGACACACAGAGACAGCGCTAATTAGGAAACATTCAGGAGGAACACTGTTGCAGCTGAAATTGGTGGGGAGTTCAATACTTTTCAGTTCAGTTATTTAAAAATATTCTTCATTGATGGAAAGCAGTTCCATACTGAAATGTGTTGTTTCAAATGACATTTCTGTGGTTTTTACCTTTTTAATGAATTTCACAAAAAACAAGTGGTAATTTGTGTATAAAGAACTTGGCCAGATAATTTGCTTAATGTAAATCTAAATAGTCACAATTAGTATAGACCCATCCGTATATTTTTGATAATTTTTCATGTAGGGTAAAAGTTAAAATGAGAAATTGATAATCTGATATAAAACTTAAAGTTTTGACAGTCAGTGGGGAAAAAAGGAGGCTTTTAGACTTTCTTAAAAGACTTAAAATTTTAGGACAGAATTTTCTTAACATTGTTGTTTGATCTAACTTTTCATAATAATGTTTTGGATACTGTGCATAATCAAAATTGGTATTGTAACCTCTGTTAACACAGATAGTATATGTTTTAAACTTTCACGTAAACCTTTTTTCACCCAAGCTTGTGGAAGTATCGTGTGTAAAGTTCTCTCTGTCTGTTTCTTTGTTGATTGATTACTAAAATGACCTTGTTATTAAAGTATGTGCAAGTAAGAAAAAATAAGTTTGTTTCCAAGCACCTTAACATATTTTTTAAAAGTGTTGTTAAGTGTGTCTGCTTCATGAAATGTCTCTCTTAAATAAAAATGTAAAGGCAGGAAATTTTCCACACTTTGAAGTTGTTTTACTTTCTCTAAATTTTCAAACATCTTGAAAATTTTGTCTTTAATCATTTTTTCAGTTTTCTCGCTGTCTACTAAGAGAGCTTGCCTGTAGTAAGGACATCGTTTATTTTTATTCAGAGTGAGCTGAAGTAGTGACAAGTAGTAGATGCTCAGATAAAAATCTGCATATTTGGCTGGGCGCGGTGGCTCACGCCTATAATCCCAGCACTTTGGGAGGCCGAGGCGGGTGGATCACGAGGTCAAGAGATCGAGACCATCCTGGTTAATAAGGTGCAACCCCTGTCTCTACTAAAAATACAAAAATTAGCTGGGAATGGTGGCAGGTGCCTGTATTCCCAGCTACTCCGGAGGCTGAGGTAGGAGAATTGTTTGAACCCAGGAGACGGTGGTTGCGGAGAGCTGCGATTGCGCCATTGCACTCCAGTCTGGGTAACAACAGTGAAACTCCGTCGAGAGAGAGAGAGAGAGAGAGAGAGAGAGAGAGAGAGAGAGAGAGAGAGAGAGAGAGAGAGAGAGAGAGAGAGAGAGAGAGAGAGACACACACACACGTTAGGAAGAGCAGCTGAGGTCCAAGGAAGCTTTAGCAGACCCCAGTGGGAGTTTTGAAGATGGGATGAATCTTCGGAGCTGTCTGTGGTGGGGGTAGGAGAACCGGTACTTTATACCCATATCAGTCAGTCACGGAATGTAGGTGGTAACAGGAATGGGGATGTGAACTTGAGTGAAATGGCTTTTCACAAGTGAGGCAAATCTCAAAGGAGGGCTGGTAGATGCGGACTGTGTGCGGGCAGCCTTGGCAGCAGCCAGAGCAATAAGTTCTTTATCCCTGAACAGGGATCTGAGAGCTGCATCCTGGAGTCCTCCACATATGCTTATCACTGCACCATTAACAATTTTGCTTCCATCCCCATCACTCTGGCTATGGTCACTAATGACTTCCATGTCCCTGAAGCTAAAGCAGATTTTTCAGTTTATCTTTAATTTTTGTTTTGTTTTTTAATAGGCAGGCAGTTCTACTTACCATTTCCTCTTCTTGAAAAGCCCTTTTGTCCCACTTCTGTACCATGTCTCTCTCTTCTCTTTCTCCTGCCTCTCCTGCCGTGCTGTGGTGCTCTCCCTTCCTGGTCATCCATCCCTTTGCTGGACCCAGGCAACGTCTCAGACCCTCCCCTCTCCCTCTTCCATGCATTGTGTATAAGTGATCTCACTTACATCTCTGGTGATAACTCATTTTTGAAGGTTACGAATATTTAACTAAAATCTCTGTATTTGCCAAACTGTTTTTCAGAGAAAGATGTATCCATTACAACATCAGTAGCAGTATGTGTATGTATCTGTAAAGATTTCTATTTAATATTAGACAGTTTGAAAACAACAGAAGAATAAGCACTCATATATTTACCACCCAGATTAAGAAATAAAATATTGCAAATACATTTGGAGCGGTTCATATGCTCCTCCCTAATAATAATAATGTTCCCCTCTGTGAACCCTATGTGAGCCACGATGCTGAATTTGGTGTTACTGCTTACCCAGTGATCACTGTAATGCTCCCTATACCTATCACCATGACCTTCCTTGAACAAAGTCTGCCTTACTAGTTTTACCAAGTATCAGGGATTCTTTTTTTCTTAATAAACTTTATATATGTAGTCAGTTTCAGCATGAATTCTTTCAGACACAAGCTACAAATAACCTTTTTCTTTCTCTTAGCTGCCTTGAGACCCACTCTTTAATCATTTCTCTCCAGCTACCAGGAAAATCTTGGCAAATGCTGTAACAACTTTTCCAGAACTTCTTTGATATTAATGAATAGGCTAAATGTTAGGTCTTAGAGTTACTTCAAAACTGATGTTAGGCCGGGCGCAGTGGCTCACGCCTGTAATACTAGCAGTGTGGAAGGCCGAGCAGATGGATCTGTTGCGGTCAGGAGTTTGAGACCAGCCTGACCAACGTGGTAAAACTCTGTCTCTACTAAAAATACAAACATTAGCTGGGCATGGTTGCGGGCACCTGTAATACTAGCTACTTGGGAAGCCGAGGCAGGAGAATTGCTTGAACCTGGGAGGCGAAGGTTGCAGTAAGCTGAGATTGTGCCACTGCACTCCAACCTGGGAGACAAGAGCAAGATTCCATCTCAAAAAAAAAAAATTAATGTTAAACTTTCAGGTTTTTTGTTCAATTTAAAGCTTTTTCCCCTCTCTAGTTCTGAGCTGATTGAGACTCAGAAACCTTCCAAAAATTGAATGACTCAAAGTTGTATTCTTTAATAACTTTCCATCTCACTGCCCTACTCCTTTTCCACACCAAACTTTTCTTTGTCATTATTGGGGTGGAGTTAAGAGGGATGATGGGAAGAGGAACAATGGGAAAAGAATAGTGAAGTTGTAGCCTGGCTGGCATTAATTCCATGCAAGAGCGGTTCATGTACAAATGCAGCCTCTACCTCTCAATCTAAGCAATGCTCAAAAGGATGCTTTCCCTGCCAAGTAATGACCCTCTGCCTGTTTATAGTCAATTTTCTTCATGCCAATGACTAGAATTACCTCCCACCCCTGCACGTACTTTCCCGCACATGCAGACAGCTACACACAATCTGCTCATTCATCTGAATACTCTGGGGAAAGGCCTTTTTTAATATGACCCACGTCTAGCTATACAAAATGAGTCTGAAAGTTTTCTTTCTTTGTGGGAGCTAGTTTGGGTATATTGGGTATCTATTTGGCTGTAATAACTTCATCTTTTTAAAAGAGGGGAGAGTTGATATTTGCTAACTTTAATTAGGAATATAATAGATGCTATCTAAAGAAAACACACAACCACCCAATTATTGGATGAAAATAGATAATATTGAAAGATGTTTTTTGCTAAGAAAATCATAAACACCAGAAAAACATATAAATTATAATCTAATTATAAATATCAGATCCATACACGAAACAAAAAAAAACACAAAAAATAAGTCCTCGTAGTAAAAGACTTAAGACTTATGACAGAAAACATAACAAAATATTACTAAACCAAGACTAAAAGTTCTGCCATTATGATAAATGTTTATTTATATAAAATGCTATTATTACATCACACTAAAAACCAACTTAATGCTGTGAAATACACCTGAAGCAAAGTGATTCATAAAGTTTTTCTAAAAATAATATGCAAACATAACACAAGTACCTATCAATAAAAATACGAAGTAAAGATAGTAATATCAGATATGATGCATTTATTAAGAAATAGTATGCAGTCTAAAAGGGTGGTTCATATTAACAAAACAATTCCATGAGGAGGACATAATAGCAATAATTCATGAAGCTACTATTAATAACTAGGAAGACACACTCTAGACATAGGAGAATTCCAATTTCTTAGTCTTTAAAATATGAAATAAACAATCTATGTAATTATAGAGAAAACCTAAATAATACAACAAAGTAAGGTAGATATTTATATGTAATTTATGTATGTGCATATATGGACAATATATACATACAGTAAAGATAGAAGGTATGTGTATATCTATTATATATAATGTAATTATATTATTATCTATGTATATATGCATATTATATGTGATATAATGTAATTATATAATACACATATGTATATACATATACCTTACATACAATATAATATGTGTATGTATGGACAATATATACATATAGTAAAGACAGGTAAGGTATGTGTATATATATTATATATAATGTAATTATATTATTATATATGTTTATATGTATACACACATATATAATATGTATATATGCATGTTATATGTGATGTAATATAATGTAATTTTATAATACATATATGTAATGTATAACATATGTAATGTATAGGTATATACACATATTATATGTATTATATATATTACATATAACCCAATATATGTAAGGTATATGTTTATAAAATATAATATATACACATATTATATATAATATATATCTTTAAACATCAAAAACAGATTTTATCTGTTATCTGATATCACCTGACCACTTTAAATGAAACATTTTATGTAAAACAGTGTGTGCACAAGACATACATTAAATGAATGGAGATCAAAGGAAATTAAAAACATTTCAGCAAAACACAGTAAAATTATCTAACATATATAACATATGTAAGATATATGTATATATACATATATGTGTATCTATACATATGTAAGGTATATATATACATGTGTAAGGTATATATGTGTGTGTATCTATATATACACACGTATAATATATGTGTATATACATATGCCTTATGTATATACATAAAGACTATATAAATGAATATATACATACATATACATATATATGGAAAATTTTTCCTGAAACTATCTTAGAAGTTTCTGCAAGATATTATTAACCAAGCACTTAAAGAAATATACAGCCTAATATAAACACAGCAAACTTTATTATTTCAAAAATGCACAAACATCCTTAAATTCCTTTTTAGGTGAAATAATACCAAAAGATGTTTTAAACACTTAATTTTTCTAGTCTCAACCTGTTGTTCTTTATAATTCTGAAATTCTCTTAGTACAAAAATAATGCAATCACCAACATTTACTACATCTCCCACATGAAGGGCAAGACATTCTCAGTGATATTAGCAATATGACTCTTAGGTGTACACAAATATTGATTTGTTCTTTTAGTTAAATAAGTGATTCAGGCAAAGGATCTTTAGATACAGGTAAGTTAATGTTCTGTGTCTAATCAATAGCAAATTGGTAAAGATCAATCATGTGAATTAAAAATTTAAACTCATTGACTTGCATGCATAGGTACAATATGTAGAATTGTGCCAATTGTGCCTGGTCTAAAAACATTACTAATATGCAGAATTGCTATTAAAGCTCTACACTGCTCTTTTAGCCAAATGAAGTTTCCTAAAAACAAAATAATAAACTGGAAAATTTTCTGAGTAAAACTCTGGCACCTCTTTTTAGCAAGCTGTATCATCTATAATAAATGACTTGACAAAATAGCAATAATGTGGATGGCAAAACTGTATAAAGATAGAAAAAAAATAAATTCAAAAAAATGATGATAAAAATAAGTAAGTTTTATAGGTAAAAATTACAATGCAAGCATACTATTTTAAAACACCCAGAGAGTAACTTTTTCAAGACTTGCTAGTTACTTGCCAGTGATACAGATGAAGATGGGAAGTACATAAATAATATGGTCATACAAGGAAAAAATCAGAAATAAAGGATCATAAACAAAAGATGGAAAAAGGAAAACAGAAGCAAAGATAGTGTCACAAAGAAGCACAGATCTGAAGGAATAACATTATAATTACCCAAGCTAAGACTGAAACATGACAAGAAAAGAAAACTTTAAAAACAGTTTTTATTTATATTCAAAACATGAGTAATAATTATCCAGAGATAGAACAGTTCTGTTCAAACCATGGTACATTGACTTAAACAAAACACAATTACCCAAATTTCATTATTCTACACTTTTGTAAATAAAATTCTTTATAAACTTACAAATGACACATCAATATTGCAAATAGGAGACTGAAGTCTCAGATAGTTAAATCACCTGACCACTTTAAATGAAACATTTTATGTAAAACGGTGCCTGCACAAGATAGAAAATAAATAAATGGAGATCAAAGGAAATTTAAAATATTTCAGCAAAACACAGTAAAATTACCTAATAATTGTATATTGGCTTGTAAGCATAATTAACTGCCTTATTTCACCATGATTTAGTCCAAAGTAAGAATGGTCCAGAGGAAGCTGAATGACAACTGGGAAAAGATGCTCTAAGAGGAAGTCATGTGCCTAGCTCTGAAATTCTGTAATTCCTTTAGTCTGAATAACACAAAGCCATCCAAGAAGCCCTGGGGTTAAATCAAGAACTTAAACATTTCAAAAATTTTAGGAGAATCAAAGCATTTTTTAAATCAGTAATTAAGATGATGGAGCTAACATATGTGCCAAAAGAAGCATTTGTCATGGCATGTTTGCTTTTTATTTGTTCATTCATACATTTTTCTAACATTATGAAGTTAAATTAGCTAGTTACTTAAGAAACATTAAATTCTCTCTACCATGTGAAGTGTATAATACAATGTAATATAGTTAGATATTTTTCCCATCTCTCATGCTGAAATGTAATTCCCTATGTTGGAGGTGGGGCCTGATGGGAGTTGATTGGGTCATGGTGGTGCGTCCTCATAAATAGCTTAGTACCGTCCTTGTAGTAATGAGTTCTCATGAGATCCAATCATTTAAAAGTGTGTGTCACCTCTCCACCTTTTGTTCACTCCCGCTTTCACATGATGTGGAGGCTCCCCCTTTGTCTTCCACCATGACAGAAAAAGCTGCCTGAGGCTTCTCCAGAAGCTGAGCAGATGCCAGCACAATGCTTCCTACAAATTCTGCAGAACTGTGAGCAAGCTAAATCTCTTTTATTTATAAAGTGGAGGTTGCCAAGATCTACCACACTGACATTCTGTGCACCTGCAGGCTTAATACCACATGAAACCCATTCTCCAAGTCTTTCAGACCCTAGAATGGTAGATCCACCAGCTGCTTGCTCCCTGCACCTGGGAAAGGGGCAGGCACTCAACAACTTGTGCGAAGAGCCATGCAGGTGAACCCTATAAGGCCACAGGTGTGAAGCTGCCCAAGGTCTTGGGAGTCCACCCCTTGCACCAGTGTGCCCTGGATGTGAGACACAAAGCCAAAGAAGATCATTTTAGAGCTTTAAGATTTAATTATAGCCCTGCTGGGTTTTAGACTTGTGTGAAATCCGTAACTCCTTTCTTTTGGATGATTTCTTCTTTCTGGAACAGGAATGTTTACCCAATGCCTGTACTCCCATTGTATCTTGAAAATGAATAATTCATTTTGATTTTACAGGCCTATAGGTAGAAGAAGATGAGTCTCAAATAAGACTTTGGAGTTAGATGTGGGACTTTTGATTTAATTCTGTAATAATTTAAGACTTTTGGGCAGTACGGAGAAGGCATGATTATATTTTGCAAAGTGAGAAGGACATGAGATTTGAAGGGAAGGTCAGAGATGAAATGTTATGGTTGAGTGTTTCTCCTGCCCAAATCTCATGTTGAAATATAATCTCCAGTGTTGAAGGTGATTCCTGGTAGGAGGTGATCGGGTCATGGGTGCAGATCCTTCTTGAATGGCTTAATGTTGTCCTCATGATACTAAGTGAGTTTTATGAGATCTGGCCATTTAAAAATGTGTGGCACCTCCTACCTCTCTCATCTGCTCCTGCTTTCACCATGTGACGTGCCTATTCACTCTTTGCCTTTCACCATGATAAAAGCCAGTACCAAGTTCCATGTAAAGCTTGCAGAACTGTAAGACAATCAAACCTCTCTTCTTATAAATTACTGTCTCAGGTATTTCTTTATACCAATGCAAGAACAACCTAGTACACCCTGCATTGAAATGCTAAAATTAATTACATAGAAAAGAAAGGAAAGCACTTAAATAGCTAAACACAGCCATAGGCAAGTTTATAAGATACAAAGATGATCATAGGTTCAATTGGGAGAAAACATAGTTTTGAATAACATGGAGCTCAAGCTGGTATTGACGGTGTGTAGCACATCTTCAAGTGGAGTGGGTGTCAAGCATTCCAGAGGAGAGCACTGCAAAAGCAAAGGCAAAATAGAAATATTTAACTTTACCTAAACATAAGGTACAGTTTGGAAATTAAGATAAAATATAATTTTTATTTAGAGATAATAAGTTTTTATCTTATTTCATAAGCAGTGAACTCTCATTCATGTGAGTGCCTTGATTAGACATAGAAATGATTTACAAAATGAGCAGATAAGAAGAGCAGCTTTTGGTTACTGCTTTAAATTTAGTAGAGGAACAGAAAAGCCCAAAGGTGGACACTGGTTATTATTTTGCACACTTTAGACCATGTTATCCTAACAATTCTATATAGATAAGGGAATTGAAATTTAGAAATATTGAATAATTCCCTTGAGGTAAAAAGCTGGTATTTGTCTGAGCCAGGATTTGAATGCATATCTAACTGAAGACTTGGTTTCTTTAATACTATATCATACTATCAAAAGTAGTGATGAGAATGAAAAAGCAGGGGAAGATATGCAAAATGTTTCTGAAGGAAGTATCTAGAAAATAATTATTAATGGTGAGTGCATGAGTAAGGGAAAGGGTACATCAAAAATTAGAAGGCTGCTTGCTACTCAAAACTTTTCAAGTACAGAATTAATGTTTTGTTTGTTTTTTTTTTTACACACAAAAGTTTTTAGTTTATTAATAAGCTTCTCGTGAAAAATCCACAACGGCCATAGATAACATCATTGCGGCACCTTTTACTTTTTCGGCTGTGTTCCAATCTCCAGTTCACTTTTTGCCAGCACCAACATTGGCCCTGACTTTCTTCTTTCTGTTCTTGCGTTCCTTTCGTTGCTTTCTTGAGGTCTTCTTCTTCTCATACAGGCCATGTCTTGCAAGTCTATGTTTGGGTTCATTTTTCTTTGCATAATCCAGGGAATCATAAATCATGCTAAAGCCAGTTGTCTTGCCACCACCAAAATGAGTTCTCAATCCAAATACAAAGATGACATCCGGTGTTGTCTTGTACATTTTGGCTAGTTTTTCCTGAATTTCTGTCTTAGGCACTGTTGCCTTCCCGGGGTGAAGGACATCAATGACCATTTGTTTCTTCTGAAGTAGTCGGTTGGTCATGAACTTTCTAGTGCGGATAGTTACTGTGTCGTTCATGATGGCGGCCTATCCTTAGACAGCCGAGGAGGAAAAGAGCAGAATTAATGTTTTAAATAAACAATGAGATGTTATCATTAAGTAGTATACAACTCTGATTTTTACTCTGATTTTCTATGAACAAGTGAAAATTTTTCCAGAGAGTCTGTGTTCAGCTTAATCAGCATACTCTTCTTATTTACATCCATATAAACTATCAGATCAGCTCTCAGTGGGTTGTCCTTTATTAAATATTTTTATTACTTCCCTGAATAGTAAACCTATGATAAAGGCAGAAGTTCTCAACTCCTCTGAACCTTAAGGAATGAAACTACTACTGACCCTTGAACTACACAGGTTTGAACTTCATGATTCAACCCACACACATTTTTTTAAAATAAATATATCAGAAATTTTTTTGGAGAATTCTGACAATTTAGAAAAACTGGCAGAAAAAAAACATGATGTAGCCTAGAAATACCAAAAAAAAACCCACACACACATTTCATAAGCTAGATATGTCATGAATGTATAAAATAAATGTGAAAACTAGATTATCATTTACTATCATAAAGTATACAAAAATCTATTATAAAAAGTAAAAATTTATCAAAACTTACACAAACACTGACTGTATATGGTGCCGTTTGTAGTCAAGAGAAATGTAAACAAATACAAAATGGAAGTATTAAATTATAACTGCATAAAATTAGCTGTAATACATATTATACTACTGTAATAATTTTTTAGCCTCTTCTGTTGCTTTTGTGGTGAGCTCAAGTATTGCAAATGTCCACTTAAAATGCCATGTGACGTTAATCATTTTGTCTGAGAAATTCTCACCCGTGCATTGAGTATCTCAGAAAAAAAAAAAATACTCTCTGGCCAAAGATAGTGGCTCACTCCTGTAATCCCAACATTTTGGGAGGTCAAGGTGGGAGAATTATTTGAGGCCAGGAGTTCAAGACCTGCCTGGGTAACACAGCAAAACCCTGTCTCTACAAATTTGTCTTGAAATACAATAAAATTAAAATACATAGAAAATAAATAAAAAGTGGTCTGTTTCAGTTCTTGTGTATTTTTTATTGCATTTAGTGAAATACCCTATACCTATAATAACACACCATGGGGAACAGGCATGGTGGTGGCTCACACCTATAATCCCAGCACTCTGGGAGGACAAGGCAAGTGGATCATGAGGTCAAGAGATCGAGACCATCCTAGTCAACAGGGTGAAACCTCGTCTCTACTAAAAATATCAAAAAATTAGCTGGACATGATGGTGCACACCTATAGTCCCAGCTACTCAGGAGGCTGAAGCAGGAGAGTTGCTTAAACCCAGGAGGCAGAGGTTGCAGTGAGCCAAGATCGTGCCATTACACTCCAGCCTGGGTAACAAGAGCGAAACTTCGTCCCAAGAAATAAAACTAAAAATAAAAAAATAACACCATGGGACCCATATAAAGTGCCCCTAGAGATGTTAGAATTGCTCTCCAAAATCAGGAAAAAAGTCATGACTTTACAAGACTAAGTTGAGTTGCTTGATATGTACTGTAAATTGAGGTCTGCCCCTGTGGTTGCCTTCCATTTAAAGTAAATAAGTCCAGCATAAGGACCTTTATAAGCACTTTTTGAAAAAAGATAATTCATGAAGCTGTTGCTGCAGTTATGCCAACAAGTGCAAAACCCTTGCAGTTTTTATGAAATCACTTTTTTTCTTGTATTAACAATGTAGCTTTTATGTAGGTGATGGATTGCCATAAAAGTGGCATACTTATAGTCTCTGATATGATTCAAGAAAACACAATCATTATATGACAATATAAACAGAAAAGGAAGACTCTAAAGCTGAAGAATTTAATGACAGTAATTTAATTTACTGTCCTATTCTTTAAAAAAAAAATCCACATAGGATATTTATTAGTAAGGAAGAGAATAGAACACCAGAATTGAGGGCACGAAAGTCTAGGTTAACTGAACTCTTTTATGAAAATGCAGTTGAGTTTATGATAGAGACTTCTTGAATTCATAAAGCTGTAAAGCCCCTAGGCGTGAAGGAAAAAGATAAACACCAACCTTTTGCCAGGCTTCTGACTGTACAACTAGAAGGCCTGGACAGTGAGAACCCCTTTCTAGGTGGGTTCCATCAGTGTTTTGTCCCTAGAATCTGGAAGTGTCTTTCTAGTAAGAGACTACCTTTTAAACAAACAAAGAAAGAAAGGGAGGTCTGTATAATTGAACATTATGGTTAGAGCCTAGTACAGTAACTGGTATACAGCAATACCTACTAAATACATACTGAATTAATTGAATTCTGATATTTGTGCTGCTGAAGAGTTTTACAAAAGAATTATCTTTTTAAGGGAGAAAAGACTTCTCATCTGATATGGTTTGGATATGGGTCCTCACCCAAGACTCAGATAGAATTGTAGTCCCCAGTGTTGAAGGTGAGGACTAGTAGGAGGTGACTGGATCATGGGGTTGGATGTCTCCCTTCCTGCTATCTTTATTATAGACAGTTCTCATGAGATCTCGTTGTTTAAAAGTGTGAGGCACCTCCTCCCTCTGTCTTCCTCCTGTTCCTGCCGTGTGAAGAGCTGACTTCCCCTTTGCCTTCTGCCATAATTGTAAGTTTCCTGAGGCCTCCCCAGAAGCTGAGCAGATTCTGCCAAGCTCCATGTACAGCCTGCAGAATCATCAGCTGATAAAATCTCTTCTCTTTATGAATTACAGTCTGAGGTGTGTCTTTATAGCAGTGTGAGAACAGCCTAATACATCACCCATCACTAGGTTCCCAATGGAGACTCTTATAACAAAAAAATAATTAACAAGAGAAAAGCATACATAGTTATTTAATATAAATTTTATATAACTCAAGAGCCTTCAGTAATGCAGATTCAAGGAGATAAACTTCGGTATTTTTATAATTAGGTTTAATAAAGAGTGCTCAGTCATGGAGAAGTATGATTGGACAAAGAGGATATAACCTAATGGTAATAAACAGGGGTGGGAGACTTGGCAAGGCCTATTTGCTCAGATTCTTCACTGTGCCCCTGTGCTTCAAATGTAAAGATGGTCCTTTCCTCTGTGTATAGGGAGGGCTGTTCTCCCACCCACTTCACAGGAGAAAGGTCAGAGTGGTTAGAGAGTGACCTTCCTAGGTCCAGCTTCCAGGGGAAAGAGTCTAGGGAAGGTGAAAATGGCCTTCTTGAGTCTGCTGTTTTCTCAAATGCCAAGGTGCCATATTTTGGGGGAGTGTGTCCTAAACCCCATCATCATGCAGGCAAAAAAGAACGAAATAATGTCTTCAAAACTACAGGAGAATGAAAGCTTGAGGACTATATAAAAAACCAAGTATTCCAGCATGGCTAGTTGAAAGGCTAGCTTGGAAGAAATGACAGCCGGGTGAGCTAAGAAGGTTGATTCTATTCAGATAATAGATGTCCTGGTGTCTCATGTCAGAGTCAGAATTTTTCTCTGTAGACAAAAGAGAGTCACTAAAAATTTTTCAACATGAGAGCAATGACTTTATAATTAAACCAAATTATCTGTGTTTATTATTGTACTATGGGAAAATGGCCAGTGCATGTTTACCAAATGTGGAGGATACAGTTGAGATAGTCTATGTGCCACACTCAAAATTATGAAAGAAGGTCATTTTGGAGGATTCCTCAGATAAAATAGTTTAAAGCTGAATTAGGACAAGAGCAATATCATACTCCAATCCAGGGTAATATGCATATATATCAAGATATGATGAATGGGAAGGAAAAAAATGGCTTTAGATATAAGCCCTAAATTGAAAATCATACAGGCATAATACTTTAACAGATAGACTAGGCTTTAGTCTTTTAACAGCTAGTTTTTAAAGTTAACTTCAGTATAAGATGTTAAAATAAGACTCTCAAATACCATAATATTGAAGATATGATGGTTTAACATAAGAAACAAATTGATTTGGGTATAGATACGGTGAGAAGACAAAAATCTTTTTCTCTACATATTTTTGGTTTTCCAAATAGGGCAGTGTAAATTAGACTCCTCAAAGATAGACGTGACATTAAATAATTCACACTTAAAGCTGCTGGAATTTTAAGTTGTCCTGGGCCTTCAAGGAATGTGGCTATGCAACCTGAGTTACATGGCATGCAGCTGGAACTTCTGCCTTTTTTACTCCAAATAATTAAGACCAAAAGGTGCCAGAGATAAGCTCCCTCCTTGGATCACTACCCTCCTCAAGGAGTAAGAAAATAATCTTGCTTGGAATGTAGCAACCAGTAACAAAACAAATCGCTGTGTCATATGTTCCTGGTCTTGTGTGGAAAAGGTTGTAATTCTACCAGAACTTTTCTTATGCAAGTAAAACCCTAACTCTTCCACTTTGGAAACACTGACTCCATTTGTTTGTAGCCAGCGCTTTCCCAGATGGCCATCCTCAAGCTTTGCACTCGAATAAACTCTATACGTGATCATGTTTTCTGAATCTCATTATTTAAGGTTGTCATTGTGCCAGCCACAAAGGGATAAAACAGACCTCTAGTAATCTCTGTCACTTTGCTGACAGCCAGAGCCGTGGTGCCAGCATGAACAGCTTTCATTCATCTGACTTCACCAGAGTCAATGGGATCCTTGGTAAGACCCCTCTTGGTCTCAATCCTCCTAGGTTTGTTTCAGCTACACACATTTCTATCTCAACAAGGTTGGAATTGAAGCTCTGCTCTAAGGTAGCTTTATGTGCTATTCTCTAGAGATTGTGCTAATTGCGGCTTTGTGATTTTCACTTTTCTCTGAGGTCAAGGTTTTGTGTGAGATTACTAACTATAGTTATCAGAACCTTTTCTCTTGTTCAAAATTTTGGTCAGGAGAAAACAGTTTCTCAAAAAAGAAAGTGAATTGTTATGGCTTATGCAAAAATAAAAACAAAAAAAAATTACCTTTAAAACTAGCCAGATTCTGAAACAGAGGTCAATTAATAAATCTAAACTTTCTCCATGAATCACCAGAATTATGAAGTGCTCTATGAATGTAAGTTCTGAAAAAGGAGGTTCTTCCTCCCAGCCAAAGGTACGTTAGGCAGCTAAGGTCTCTTAGGAGTGTTGGAGCTTATTGCTCATGATGTGAAACAGGAATTCCTTATGAACGTACAAGGAATTTTCCTTAATCAGGAGGGCACACATAAAGGTTTATCACCTGATGCCTTAAAGACCCACGTTCCTTGGGATCACTGAGACACATAGAGGAAAGAAATGACTCAAGGTGTCACATTGAGAAGCTATTTTCATAAGCAATACACCTGAACCCAAACACTTTCCACTAGGTTTTCAGTTTTCAATCATTCAGAAAGAAAAATGTAAATTATGGACAATCCTATCTCTAAAACTAAGTCTTCCTCCTTAAGGAGAGATCCACCATTAGAAATACCAGCTGTACCAAATCCCCATATGTCCTTGACTGCCTTCCTGAAGGACTGTGTTAAAGGGAAAAACTTCTCCTCCAGAGTCCACCAGGGGCGTTGTTTCAAAAGCAAGAGTTTCCTAGCACTATCCTCCATCCAGCCCCCATCTGGGAATGTAAAGTTGTTTGTCTGACTTTCCCATGCAAAGGCTAGGTGGAAAATCCAGGTGAGCTTCTTTGTTCAAAAAGCCCACCGAAAGCTCTGGGAAGAGAGGCCTCGGTTGGGGGTCAAGTAGCCAATCCGATATCAAAGTCAAAGATGAATCACTCCAGCAGAAGTTTGAAAGATTTCCTCTCATTGGACAAAAATATAAATGGCACAAGAATAAGTTCAAGGTTAAAATCCCACTGCTCCTTACCTATATGTATTCCTCCCTTGGATCCTCACCCATGGCAGCGTGGGAACTCTTTCTCATATTTGTTCTCTTTTTTTTCTCTCTCTCTCTTTGTCTAATCACTCTCTGCTAAACTCTTTGGGTCCACAATATTTATTTGAATGGTAAGCTCACCATTTCTCCAGGCTCCTTTTCCCCATTCCTGGGGTAAGAGAGGCCAAGGACCTGGGTACATCAAAGTGGTGAACTGGAAGCCCTTCTGGCTTGCTAATCTGTCCTTTCAGTTCTTTTAATTTTGTTAAGGAGGAACACTGGGCAGCTGGACCTGCATGGGGCTGCATCCAGCTGGTGGAGGCAAGGCCGGGTGGGCACAGCTGCCTCTGCAAGCCATGCCCAGCCTTTCAATTACACAGCTGCCAGGACTTAAAGACATAAGCATCAGGCTTTCTCCAAATCAGCTTCCCTTTCTTGCTGTTTTCTTCTTTTTCTGGGCCAAACTGGGGGTCAGCAGGAGGAAGGGAGTTCCCAAATTCCCAGTTCTCTCTGGTCAAGTTTGGGCTCAACTTAAAAACTCCAAAGAAAAAGCTGCCTATGTGAGCCATCACCAGCCCTTCAGAACCACAGCAGCAGCACAGTAGCAGCTGGCCAGGGCAGCTGGAACAGCTGCTGCCTGTGTGAGAAACACCCAGCCTTTTAGACACACACTGGCAGCAGTGGCTGCACGATGGCCGCTGTAGTGGCTGGGCCTGGTGGTGGGAACAAAAGCCACCTGTGCAAGCCACGCCCAGCCTTTCAGACCACAACCTCCTGGATCCAGATTTCCATGAGGGAAACTTCTTCCCAGCTCTTTCCTCTAAGATATTTCCCGCACATGACGCTCTTGGGGTGGCAGTGAGGGACCCATGCCCATGGTGCCCTCAGGTTTATGCTTATGAGAACCTCCCGCTGTATAAATGCACAGGGCTACTTCCCTTAGTCCGCAGTGCTAGGTTATGTGTAACTCCTAAGACTGGAAGCCAAAAAGCGGCTACAGGATATTGTAAGAAACTTAAAAGCTCAGGGTCTAGTAAAGTCCTATAACAGGCCCTTGTAATACTCCAATATTATCCAAATATGCTTACCTGGTTCTGCATGCTTATGCTGCAATCAGGAAGGAAAGAGAGTTCCTAACCTCAGCAGGAACTCCCATTAAATGTTACAAGGAAATTTTAGACATTACAAGCTGTCCAAGGTCTCCAAAAAGGAGATGAGAAGGAAGCAGAGGGCAGTCGCTGAGCTGACCTAGAGGTGAAAAGGGCAGCTAGTCAAGAATTTATAGAAGGACCTTTAATATGGAAAATCCCCCTCCAGGGAACTAGACGTCAATGCTCATCAGAAGAGGTAGAGTGGACAATCTCCCAATCTTCTTCCTTCAGAATGGATAGTACTGAGGAGGGAAAACTACTCTACCTGCTTCCAGCCGGGGGAAAGTACTTAAACCCTACATCAAATCTTCCATATGGTATAGAGAATTCACATCAAATGGCCAGATCTATATCTACAGAAAAAGGCCTCTTCAAGGCTGTTCAACAGATAGTCAAAGGATGTGAAATATGCCAGAAAAATAATACTTTGGAACATCGCAAACTCCTCCTGGGGAACAGTGAACTGGTCATTACCCAGGTGAGGACTGGCAAATGGACTTTACCCATATCCTAAGTCTAGTACACACTAGATACCTACACGAATTGGGTTAAGGCTTTACCCTGTAGAACAGAAAAAACCCAAGAGGTAATAAAAGTCCTGATTAATGATATAATCCCTAGATTCAGACTCCATCGCTGTTTTCAAAGCAATAACAGCCCTTCCTTCAAAGCCACAGTGATTCTCCCTCTCCAGGCCCATCTTGGGAAGCACGGTTTTCCATTATTCTGTCTACCCCAATGGCAGTTAAGGTGGTGAGAATTGACTCATGGAGTCATCACACTCAGCTGAAGCCTTGAACTCCTCCTGAAGAAAATCCTGGGCCCTCCAGTCCACAGCCTGAAGTTCCAGGAGATGACCCTTCATACACCTGTGAGCTGTTAGAGGATGCACATCTGCCCTTCCAACAAGATCCCCAGGAAAGTAACTACTCATGAGTCTAACTTACATCCTGGCATTAACAGGACTATAACTCTATTATTTGCAACCAGACTCTATGTGGTTACCCCTACAAATTGGCCTAATAGCTCTCATCTCCTGCTTCCTAGTGTCCTAGTGCCCCCCCACACATGACAATTTACACTGACTCTCAGGTGCAGTCTTATCTTGCTAAGGCCAACCCCATACACAAACCCCAATTATTTCTTTCATTGGGATGGGGTAGAATAATAGGAGGACATGATACTGGTATTGGAAGAGTTACTACCGCTACTTAGTTTTACTTTGAGCTATCTTAGGAGTTAAATAATAACATGGAAGAGGTTGCTAATTCTCTCTGCAGAAGCAGCTTAACTCTTTAGCTGCTGTTAGCTCTTCAAAATAAAATGTCCCTGTATCTGCTAATAGCAGAGAGAGAAGAAACATGTCCCTTTCTAGGAAAAGAATGGTGTTACCTTGTAAATCAATCAGTTATTGTTAAAGAACTCAGGGATCAATCAAACACAGGGCTAAAGGCTTTCAAGAAACAGGATCGTGGAGTGTGGTTAACAACTGGCTCATGATTTCTATCCTAGACCTCTGGATCAACCTGCAACCCTGGAAGACTCCACTCTGGAGGAAACCTCAACTGCAGGCCCCCTCCTACACCCAAATTCAGCAGGAAGTAGCTAAAAGGCAATCGACACCCATATCCCAACAGCAGTTGCACTTTGCTGTTCAGAGGGGGACTGTGTTAAGGAAAAAACTAATCTTACTGAGTACACAAGGGCTATGGTTACAAAGGCAAGTGTTTCCCAGCGCCATGCCTCCATCCACGCCCACATGCCAGGATGCAAAGTACTTTGTCTGACTTTCCTGTGCATGGGCTAGGTGGAAAATCCAGGTGAGCTTCTTTGTTCAAACAGTTGGAGAGACTCACCCGTACTCTGTGGGCACAGGTCTAAGGCTGGGATTCCACCATGTTTCCCTGGCAATCCCTCTTCCTGAATTTTCTTCCTAGTGGTCGACCCATCGTGAATCCTGGCCTCCAAAAGAACCTACCTCTCAAAGGCTCTGGGATGAGGGGTTTCCAAGAGATCCCAGCGGAGGAGAAATTGTTGGTGACCTCGGGGCTCCCTGCACTCCTCTTCCAATCCGATTTTGGATCCCAAGGATAAGCAGGAATGTGATTACAATGGAAAGAGGCAAGAAGGGACAGCAAGTGGGAAATGGAGACTAAGAAAGCTTCCCCGTCCCAGGCAGGTATGGAAGCCCAGAGCTCCACTGTCACGCCCCCACACACAAGCAACACACACACACACACACACACACGCCACCACACACAGACATACAGAAGTGGCACAGTAACACCCAGCCCCAGGCAGTCCCTGAGGCTGCAGGGTTCTGCTGTTGAGGACTAAAACCCTCTGGTGAGAGTGAGAGAGCAGCCCATAGGCTCACAGGAAGACATGTACTCGAGATATCCAGGCAACACATTTGGGGAGACTCACCTGCACTCCCTCGGCACAGGCCTGAGGCTGGAATTCCATGCTGCATCCCCAGCAATCCCTTCACTTGAGGTTTCTTCCTTCTGGTCCACCCTCTGCGAATCCTGGCCTATGGAGACTATCCTGTGGAAGTCCTGGCAAGGAGCACCCTAAGCCTTGTTTCTGACACACTGCCACAAGAAACTTCTCCTTTGCCAAGTCTCAGAAACTCATTGCCATTCAACAGTGAACCTCACAATCCCCTGAGGAGCAGCTTGTGCCTCCTGCATGCCCACTGATGAGGCCGACTTGCACGTGGCTCTGGGAACTCAGGTTGCAGCCCCTTGAAGAAATAGGCGAGGCTGTTAGGACTACAGTGGTGGTGGTGGGGAGTGAAAGCAGCAGGTTTGGGGAACCGTGGGAAATGGGTGTATGTGCAACACAGCCGGGATATAACTCATAAGACTCCTGTCCTCAGGACCTCCTTCAGTGCTCTTCCGCTTTGGCTCCTGGCTTCAGGGTGCCCGATGGGCTCTCCCCACTTCTCTTCGGATCCGATTTCGGATCCCACCAGGTAAGCAGGGATGGAGTTACAATGGAGAGGGGCGGGAAGGTTCTTGCTGGACACAGAAAGACCTCAGGCAACTCAAGGCATGGTGTCCACACCTCGCCACCCAGGTGGCAAAAGCAGCAGGTTTGGGAAGCCATGGGAAATGGGCATACATGCCACAAAGCAGGGTCAAATCCATAAGACTCTTATCCTCAAGACCACCTCCAGCACTCTTGTGCTTTGGCTTCTGGTGGATAAAAAGTTTCAAGGTGCCCAATGGGCTCTCCCTACTCCTATACAGATTCAATTTTGGATCCCACTGGGTAAGCAGAGATGGGGTTACAATAGAGACAGGAGGGAAGGACCTCACTGTGGACAGAAAAATCTCAGGGACCTCAAGGCATAGTGTCCCCACCCTGCCACCTGGCAGGTACTTGTGATGCAACAATCCCTGCACCCCACAAAACGCAGTTCCCTTGGCTCGCTCCCTGGCATCCATGGCAGCCAAAAGATTCAGTGCTGGAAGGCACTTTCCCAGGGGCATAATGACAGATGGCCCTCAAGAATGAGAAGAATTGCAGGTGAATTGCAACAGCACATTTTGCAGAAGCCAGAGGGCAGCCACGCAGTCATCCAGTGGGACATGGAGACTGAGAAAGCTTCCCTGTCCCGGGCGGGTATAAAAGCCCACAGCTCCACCGTCATTGTACCTGCTCAATCATCCAGAAACAGGTGTGGAGGGGAAACAGGCAGGAAACGGATCCGCATGAACTTCCTCCCTACTGGACCAAGAAGTGTTCTATGCTGAAGACACTGAGCCACATCAGGAAGCCGCTAGGATTTTCAAAAAGAGGGCTGACAAAGAAATAGGGAGGACAGAGCACAGGCCAGACTCCAGGCCAAATACAGCACAATGCATCCCAACACACATCCGGGGAGGAGTGCCAAATGGTTGACTTAGCCAGAAAGTCCAGTGTTGGAGTGACAGAGAAGTTTGCCACATTTCACTCCTGGCATCCTGGTGGTTCCGTGTGGAGCTGTGGCTGGAATTCTCAATGAGGTTATGGGTGAGAGAAGAGAGAACAGCCTTCTTTGAAGTGGGTGGGCAACCCTCCTGCAAGTGGACAATGAGCTAGGCTGAGGCTTTTTTCCTTGGCTGGGGTGTGATCATCTTGGTCCTCAGAAAGAGGCCTCTCAGGATGGGGAGGTGATGGAAACATATGGTGGCCTGATGCATCTCCCTCCCCATGTTTCCCATGCCTCCCCTGGCAAAAGCCATCTGGAATTGCAGGGGAAATGACTGACAACCAGCCACAGGACCCAGGCAGCGACACAGAGACTGATCAAAAGATAGGCTGTGGTGCAAGAAATCTCTCTCTGGCACACAGGGCCATGCATCCCAACACACACACACAGATGCACAGAGAGAGAGAAAGAGAGCGGGAAAGGAGAGAGACATAATCACAGACAGAGACATACATGCGCACACACTCAAACACACACATACACGCCACCACACAGATAAGCAGAAGTGGCACAGAAACACCCAGCCACAGGCAGTCCCTGAGGCTGCAGGGTTCTGCTCTTCATGACTAGCAACACTCTGGTGAGACTGAGAGAGCAGTCCATGTGCACACAGAAAGATGTGTACTGGAGATAACCAGGGCAAGACATTTGGGGAGACTCACCTGTACTCCCTTGTCACAGGCCTGAGGCTGGAATTCCACGCTGCTCCCCAGGGGAACCCTCCACCTGAGATTTCTTCCTCCTGGTCAACCCACTTCGAGTCCTGGTCTCTGGAGACTATCCTGTGGAGGTCCTGGTGAGGAGTGGCCTAAGTCTTGTTTCTGACACACTGCCTCAGGAAACTCCTCCTGTGCCCACTTTCAGATTCTTGTCGCCATTCAGTGGTGAACCTCACAATCCCCTGAGGAGCAGCTTGTGCCTCATGCATGCGCATTGGTGACGCTGACTCGCACCTTGCTCCGGAGACTCAGGCTGTAGCTGCTTGCAGAAATGGTTGAGGCAGGTAGGACTGCAGTGGTGGTGGCGAGTAGTGAAAGCAGCAGGTTTGGGGAGCCATGAAAACGGGTGTATGTGCAACACAGCCGTGGTCAAACCCATAAGACTCCTGTCCTCAGGACCTCCTTCAGTGCTCTTCTGTTTTGGCTCCTGGCTTCAGGGTGTCTAAAGGGCTCTCCCCTTTCCTTTTTGAATCTGATTTTGGATGCTATCGGGTAAGCAGGGATGGGGTGACAATGGAGAGGGGTGGGAAGGGCCTCACTGGGGCACAGAAAGATGTCAGCAAACTCAAGACATGATGTCCCCACCCCACCACCCGGGTGGCAAAAGCAGCAGGTTTGGAGAGCAGTGGGAAACACGCATATGTGCGACAAAGCTGGGGTCAAATCTATAAAACTCTTCTTCTCAGGACTGCCTCCAGTGCTCCTCTGCTTTAGCTGCAGATGGAGGAGAAGCTTCAGGGTGCCTGATGGGCTCTCCCCATTCCTCTTTGGATCCAATTTTATATCCCACTGGGTAAGCAGGATTGGAGTTACAATAGAGAGGGGCAGAAAGGGCCTGAGTGGGAAAACGAAAGATATCAGGGACCTCAAGGCATTGTGTTCCCACCCCACCTACTGGCAGGTACACCTGATGAAACAACCCTTGGACCCAGTAAAACGCAGTCCCCTACCCTTGCTCTCTGGCATCCATGGCAGCCAAAAGGTTCAGTGCTTTCCCCAGGGGCAAAGGGATGGATGGCCCTCAAGAAGGCACTTTCCCCAGGGGCATAGTGATGGATGGCCCTCAAGAACCAGAGAAGTGCAGGTGAATTGCACCAGCACCTTTTGAAGAAGCCAAAGGGAAGCCACTCAGCCTTCCATGGAGATGTCCACACAGCCTTCCAAGCTTTCTCATGGAGACTGAGAAAGCTTCCCTGTCGCAGGCAGGGATGGAAGCCCACACCTCCAACTTCATCCCACCTGCCCAATCATTGAGAAACAGGTTTGGAGAAGAAACAAGACAGAAACAGATCCCCAAGTACTTCCTTCCTGCTGGACAGAAAGTATTCTATGTTGAAGACACTTAGCCAAATCAGGAAGCCTTTAGTCTTCTCAGAAAGAGGGCAGACAGAGAAAAAGGGAGGATAGAGCACAGGCCGGAATCCAGGCCAAATAAAGAAAATGCCACTGCCACGGGCACCAGAGAAGGAGTGCCAAATGGTTGACTTGGCCAAAATGGCCAGCGTTGGAGGGACAGAGAAGCTTGCCACATTTCGTTCTTGGCACCCTTGTAATTCCTGTGTGGAGCTGTGGCTAGATTTCTCAATGAGGTTACGGGTGAGAGAAGTGAGAACAGTCTTCTCTGAGGTGGGTGGTCAATGAGCTATGCTGAGGCTTTTGTCCTTGGTTGGGGTGTGATCCTCTTGGTCCACAGAAAGAGGCCTCTCAGAATAGGGAGGTGATTGAAAAGATGGTGGCCTGACGCATCTCCCTCCCCACGTTGCCCAAGCCTCCCCTGGCAAAAGCCATCTGGAATTGCTGGGGAATCGACTGACAACCAGTCACAAGACCCAGGCAGAGACACAGAGACTCATCAAAAGAAAGGCTGTGGTGCAAGAAACTGCTCTCTGGCACACAGGGCCATGCATCCCAACATGCACACAGATGCGCAGAGAGAGAGAAAGAGAGCGGGAAAGGAGAGAGAGGCATAATCACAGACAGGGAGACATACACGCGCACACACTCAAACACACATACACACACGCCACCAACCAGATAAGTAGAAGTGGCACTGAAACACCCAGCCGCATGCAGTCCCTGAGGCTGCAGGGTTCTGCTCTTCATGACTAACAACCCTCTGGTGAGAGTGAGAGAGCAGCCCATGTGCACACAGGAAAACGTGTACTCGAGATAACCAGGCAAGACATTTGGAGAGACTCACCTGTACTCCCTTGTCACAGGCCTGAGGCTGGAATTCCACGTTGCTCCCCAGGGGAACCCTCCACCTGAGATTTCTTCCTCCTGGTCGACCCTCTGCAAATCCTGGTCAACCCACTGAGAGTCCTGGTCTCTGGAGACTATCCTGTGGAGGTCCTGGTGAGGAGTGGCCTCAGCCTTGTTTCTGACACACTGCCTCAGGAAACTACTGCTTTGCCAAGTTTCCGGATCCCATCGCCGTTCAATGGTGAACCTCACAATCCCCTGAAGAGCGGCTTGTGCCTCAAGCATGCACATGGGTGACGCTGACTCACACCTTGCTCAGGAAACTCAGGCTGTAGCCACTCGCAGAAATGGCTGAGGCAGGTAGGACTGCAGTGGTGGTGGTGGGTAGCAGCAGGTTTGGGGAGCCGTGAAAACGGGTGTATGTGCAACACAGCCCGAGTAAAACCCATAAGACTCCTGTCCTCAGGATCTCCTTCAGTGCTCTTGTGTTTAGGCTCCTGGCTTCAGGGTGCCTGATCGGCACCCTTTCCTCTTTGAATCCGATGTTGGATCCCACCGGGGAAACAGGGATGGGGTGACAATGGAGAGGGACGGCAACGGCCTCACTGGGGCACAGAAAGATGTCAGCGACCTCAAGGCGCAGTGTCCCCACCCCACCACCCAGGTGGCAAAAGCAGCTGGTTTGGGGAGCCGTGGGAAACTCTCGTACATGTGACAATGCTGGGGTCACATCCATAAGACACTTGTCCTCAGGACCACCTCCAGCACTCTTCTGCTTCAGCTCTGGCGGAGGAGAAGCTTCAGGGTGCCCGATGGGCTCTCCCCACTCCTCTTCGGATCCGATTTTGGATCCCACTGGGTAAGTAGGGAAGGGGTTACAATGGAGAGGGGCGGGAAGGTTGACACTGGGCACAGAAAGATCTCAGGGACCTCAAGGCATGGTGTCCCCAACCGACCACCCACATGGCAAAAACAGCAGGTGTAAAGAGCCGTGGGAAACAGGCAAATGTGCGACATAGCTGGGGTGAAATCCATAAGACTCTTGTTCACTGGACTGCCTCCAGTGCTTTTCTGCATCAGCTCCTGATGGAGGAGTAGCTTCAAGGTGCCTGATAGGCTCTCCCCATTCGTCTTCAGATCCAATTTTGGATCCCATCAGGTAAGCAGGGATAGAGTTACAATGGGGAGGGTCAGGAAGGGCCTCAGCGGGAAACAGAAAGATATCGGGGACCTCAAGGCACTGTGTTCCCACCCCACTTTCCGGCAGGAACACCTGATGCAACAACCCCTGCACCCAGTTACATGCAGTCCCTTTCCCTTGCTCCCTGGCATCCATGGAAGACAAAAGATTTAGTGCTGGAAGGCACATTCCCCTGGGGCATAATGAGGGATGGCTCTCAAGGATGAGACAAGAGCAGATGAATTACACCAGCACCTTTTGGAGAAGCCAAAGGGCAGCCATGCAGCCTTCCGTGGAGACTTCCACTCAGCCTTCTAAGCATTCTCATGGAGACTGAGAAAGCTTCCCTGTCTTGGGCAGGTATGAAAGCCCACATCTCCACCTTCATCGAACCTGCCCAATCACTGAGAAACAGGTTTGGAGAGGAAAGAGATGGGAAACAGATCCCCAAGTACTTCCTCCCTGCTGGACTGGGAAGTGTTCTATGTTGAACACACGTAGCCAGATCAGGAAGCCTTTAAGCTTCTCAGAAAGAGGGCAGACAGAGAAAGAGGGAGGAGAGAGCATGGGTCAGAATCCAGGTCAAATACAGCACAATGCCACTGCCATGGGCATCCGAGGAGGAGTGCAAAATGCGTGACTTAGCCAGAAAGTTCAGCATTGGAGGGACAGAGATGCTTGCTACATCCCGTTCTTGGCATCCTTGTGGTTCCTGTGTGGAGCTGTGGCTAGATTTCTCAATGAGGTTATGGGTGAGAGAAGTGAGAACAGTCTTCTTTGAGGTGGGTGGGCAACCCTCCTGAAGGTGGACAATGAGCTATGCTGAGGCTTTTGTCCTTGGCTGGGGTTTCATCGTCTTGGTCCTCAGAAAGAGGCATCTCAGGATGGGGAGGTGACTGAAACATATGGTGGCACAACGCATCTCCCTCCCCACATTGCCTATGCCTTCCCTGGCAAAAGCCAACTGGAATTGCTGGGGAAATGACTGCCAACCAGTCACATGACAGGCAGCGACACAGAAAGATACTCGTCAAAAGAAAGGCCGTGTTGCAAGAAACCGCTCTCTGGCACACAGGGCCATGCGTCCCAACACGCACACATAGATGCAGAGAGAGAGAGAAAGAGAGCGGGAAATAACAGAGAAACATAATCACGGACAGAGAGACATACATGTGCACACACTCAAACACACACACACGCACACCCCACCATACACAGATAAGCAGAGGTGGCACAGAAACACCCAGCTGCAGGCAGTCCCTGAGGCTGCAGGCTTCTGTTCTTCATGACTAACAACCGTCTGGTGAGAGTGAGAGAGCAGCCCATGTGCACACAGGAAGATGTGTACTCTAGATAACACAGGCAAGATATTTGGGGAGACTCACCTGTACTCCCTTGTCAGAGGCCTGAGGCTGGAATTCTATGCTGCTCCCAAAGAGAACCCTCCACCTGAGATTTCTTCCTCCTGGTTGACCCTCTTTGAAACCTAGTCAACCCACTGTGAGTCTGGGTCTCTGGAGACTATCTGGTGGAGGTCCTGGTGAGGAGTGGCCTAAGCCTTGTTTCTGACACACTGCCACAGGAAACTCTTCCTTTGCCAAGTCTCAGGATCCCGTCGCCATTCAATGGTGAACTTCACAATCCCCTGAGAAGCGGCTTGTGCCCCATTCATGCACACTGGTGAGGCCAAATACCACCTGCTTCCGGAACTGAAGCTGCAGCCCAATAAGAAAATGACCGCAGCTACTAGGACTACAGTGGTGGTGGTGGGGAGTGAAAGTAGCAGGATTGGGGAGCCATGAGAAGCAGGTGTATGTGCAACACAGCCACGGTCAAACCCTTAAGACTCCTGTCCTCAGGACCTCCTTCAGTGCTCTTCTGTTTCAGCTCCTGACTTCAGGGTGCCTGATGGGCACTCCCCTATCCTCTTTGAATCTGATCTTCGATCCCACCGGGTAAGCAGGGATGGGTGACAATGGAGAGGGGCAGGAAGGGCCCCACTGGGGCACAGAAATATGTCAGCAACCTCAAGGCACAGTTGCCCCACCCCGCCACCCGGGTGGCACACGCAGCAGGTTTGGGAGTCGGGGAAATGGACATATGTGGGACAAACCTGGGGTCAAATCCATAAGACTCTTGTCTTCAAGACCACCTCCAGCACTCTTCTGCTTTGGCTTCTGGCAGGGTAGAAGGTTCAGAGTGCTCGAGGAGCTCTCCGGACTCCTCTTCAGATCCGATTTTGCATCCCACCTTGTTAGCAGGATGGGGTTACAATGGAGAGGGGCAGGAAGGGCCTCACTGGGGCACAGAAAGATGTCTGCCACCTCAACGCCTGGTTTCCCCACCCCGCCACCCAAGTGGCAAAAGAAGCAGGTTTGGGGAGCTGTGGAAAATGCTCGTACATGTGACAAAGCTGGGGTCAAATGCATAAGACTCTTATCCTCAGGACCACCTCCAGCGCTCTTCTGCTTCAGCTCCTGGTGGAGGAGAAACTTCAGGGTGCCCAATGGGCTCTCCCCACTCCTCTTCGGATCCGATTTTGGATCCCACAGCATAAGCAGGGATGGGGTTACAATGGAGAGATGCGGGAAGGGCCTCACTGGGCACAGAAACATCTCAGGGACCTCAAGTCATGGTGCCCCCACCTGGCAGGTACCCCTGATGCCAGAACACCGGCACCCAGGGAAACCCAGTCCCCTTGACTCGCTCCCTGGCATCCATGTCAGCTAAAAGATTCAGTGCTTGAAGGCACTTTCACCAGGAGCATAGTGACAGATGGCCCTCAAGAATAAGAGAACAAGTGCAGGTGAATTGAAACAGCACATTTTGGAGAAACCAGAGGGGAGCCACACAGCCATCTACTAGGATATGGAGACTGACAAAGCTTCCCTTTCCTTGGCAGGTATGGAAGCCCATGGCTCCACATCATTGCCCCTGCTCAATCACCCAGAAACAGGTGTGGAGTGGAAACAGATGAAAAATTTATCTCCACCAACTTCCTCCCTGCTGGATTGGGAAGAGTTCTATGTTGAAGACACTGAGCCAGACAAGGAAGTGCCTCTACACTTCTCAGAAAGAGGGCACACAGAGAAAGAGGGAAGACAGAGCATAGGCCAGGGTCCAGGCCAAATACAGCACAACGCATCCCAACACACATCCGGGAGGAGTGCCAAATGGTTGACTTGACTAGAAAGGCCAGCGTTGGAGGGACAGAGAAGCTTGCCACATCCCATTCTTGGCATCCTTGTGGTTCCTGTGTGGAGCTGTGGCTAGATTTCTCAATGAGGTTATGGGTGACAGAAGTGAGAACAGTCTTCTTTGAAGTGGGTTGGCAACCCTCTTACAGATGGACTCATTGTATGCTGAGGCTTTTGTCCTTGGCTGGGGTGTGACCGCCTTGGTCCACAGAAAGAGGCCTCTCAGGATGGGGAGGTGATTGACACATATGGTGGCCCAACACATCTCCCTCCCCACATTGCCCACGCCTCCCCAGGCCAAAGCCATCTGGAATTGCTGGCAAAAAAACTGACCACCGGTCACACAATCCAGGCAGCAACACAGGGAGAGACTCGTCAAAAGAAAGGCTGTGGTGCAAGAATCCACTCTCTGGCACACAGGGTCATGCATCCCAACACGCACAGACAGATGCACAGAGAGAGAGAAAGAGAGTGGGAAAGAAGACAGACATAATCACAGACAGAGACATACACGCGCACAAACTCAAACAGACAGACACACACAAGCCACCACACACAGATAAGCAGAAGTGGCACAGAAACACCCAGCGGCAGACAGTCCCTGAGGCTGCAGGGTTCTGCTCTTCATGACTGACAACCCTCTGGTGAGAGTGAGAGAGCAGCCCATGTGCACCCAGGAAGATGTGTACTCGAGATAACCAGGGTAAGACATTTCAGGAGACTCCCATGTACTCCCTTGTCACAGGCCTTAGGCTGCAATTCTACGCTGCTCCCCAGCGGAACCCTCCACCTGAGATTTCTTCCTCCTGGTCGACCCTCTGCGAATCCTGGTCAACCCATTGGGAGTCCTAGTCTCTGGAGACTATCCTGTGGAGGTCCTGGTGACTAGTGGCCTAAGCCTTGTTTCTGACACACTGCCTCAGGAAACTCCTCATTTGCCAACACTCAGGATCCCGTCGCCATTCAATGGTGAATGTCACAATCCCCTTAGGAGTGGCTTGTGCCTCATGCATGCTCATTGGTGACGCTGACTCGCACCTTGCTCAGGAAACTCAGGCTGTAGCCGCTTGCAGAAATGGCTGAGGCAGGTGGGACTACAGTGGTGTTGGTGGGTAGTGAAAGCAGCAGGTTTGAATAGCTGTGAAATTGGGTGTATGTGCAACATAGCCAGGGTCAAACCCATAAGACTCCTGTCCTCAGGACCTCCTTCAGTACTCTTCTGTTTTGGCTCCTGGCTCCAGGGTGTCTGATGGGCTCTCTCCTTCCCTCTTTGAATCCGATCTTTGATACCACTGGGGAAGCAGGGATGGGGTGACAATGGAGAGGGGCAGGAAGGGCCTCACTGGGGCACAGAAAGATGTCAGCAACCTCAAGGAGTGGTGTCTCCACCCCACCACCTGGGTGGCAAAAGCAGCTGGTTTGGGGAGCCCTGGGAAACACCAGTACAAGTGACAAAGCTGGGGTCAAATCCATAAGACTCTTGTCCTCAGGACCGCCTCCAGCACTCTTCTGCTTCAGCTCCGGCGGAGGAGAAACTTCAGGGTACCCGATGGGCTCTTTCCAGTCCTCTTTGGATCCCACCGGGTAAATAGGGATGGGGTTACAATGGATTGGGGTGGGAAGGTTGGCACTGGGCACAGAAATATCTCAGGGACCACAAGGCATGGTGTCCCAACCTGACCATCCACATGGCAAAAGCAGCAGGTTTGGTGAGCTGTGGGAAACAGACATATGTGTGACAAAGCTGGGGTCGGATTCCTAAGACTCTTGTTCTCAGGACTGCCTCCGGAGCTCTTCTGCTTCAGCTACTGATGAAGGAGAAGCTTCAGCGTGCCCGATGGGCTCTCCCCATTCCTCTTCAGATTCAATTTTGGATCCCACAGGGTAAGCAGGGATAGAGTTACAATGGAGAGGGGCAGAAGGGCCTCAGTGGGAAACAGAAAGATATCAGGGACCACAAGGCATTGTGTTCCCACCCCGCCTCCCAGCAGGTACACCTGATGCAACAACCCCTGCACCCAGTTAAACCCAGTCCCCTTCACTTGCTCCCTGGCAACCATGGCAGCCAAAACATTCAGTGCTTGAAGGCACTTTCCCCAAACGCATAGTGACAGGTGGTCCTCAAGAACCAGAGAAGTGCAGGTGAATTGCACCAGCACTTTTTGGAGAAGCCAAAGGGCAGCCACGCAGCCTTCCATGGAGACTTTGATGCAGCCTTCCAAGATTTCTCATGGAGACTGAGAAAGCTTCCCTGTCCGGGGCAGGGATGGAAGCCCCCGGCTCCACCTTCATCGCACCTGCCCAATCATTGAAAAACAGGTTTGGAGAAGAAACAGATGGGAAACAAATCCCCAAGTACTTCCTCCCTGCTGGACTGGGAAGTGTTCTATGGTGAAGACACTTAGCCAGATCAGGAAGCCTTTAGGCTTCTCAGAAAGAGGGTAGACAGAGATAGAGGGAGGACAGAGCATAGGCCAGAATCCAGGCCAAATACAGCACAATGCCACTGCCACGGGCATCCGAAGAGGAGTGCCAAATGGTTGACTTGGCCAGAAAGGCCAGCGTTGGAGGGATAGAGATGCTTGCTACATCCCGTTCTTGGCATCCTTGTGGTTCCTGTATGGAGCTGTGGCTAGATTTCTCAATGAGGTCAGAAGCGAGCGAAGTGAGAACTATCTTCCTTGAGATTTATGTTTACCCCTCCTGCAGGTGAGCTGTGAGCTGTGCTGAGGCTTTTGTCCTTGGCTGTGCTGTGATTTTCTTGGTCCCATGAAAGAGGCAGTTCAGGATGGGCAGGTGATCGAAATATACGCTGGGCCCCCATAGCTCCCTCCATAGTTTGCCTAGACCTTCCTCCCGAAATGTCAGCTGGAATTGCCGGGTAAACGACTGACAACCGGCCACACAACCCAGGCAGAAACACAGGGAGAAGTTCACCAAAAGAAAGGCCGTCGTGCAAGAAACCGCTCTCTGTCAGACAGGGTCATGCGCCCCAACACACACACACACACACTCACGTGCACACAGATGTACAGAGAGAGAAAGAGAGTGCGAGAGAGAGATTAATCTGAAACAGACATACGTGTGCACACAACAAACAATACATACACACCCACACACACAGACATACAGCAGTGGCACAGTAAAACCCAGCTCCAGGCAGTCCCTGAAGCTGCAGGGTTCTGCTCTTCATGACTATGACCACTGGGTGAGAGAGCAGCTCATGGGCACACATGAAGATGTGTACTTCGAGATGACCAGGCCAAGACAAATTGGGGACACCCACCTGTACTCTCTTGGCACAGGCCTGAGGCTGAGATTCCAGGCTGCTTCCTGCGATCCCTCCACCTTAAGTTTCTTTCTCTTGTTCGACCGTTCATGAATCCTGGCCTCCAGAGAGTTTCCTGTGAACGTCCTGGCGAGGCGTGGCCTGAGTCTTGTTTCTGACTCACTGCCACAGGGTGCTTATCCATTGCCAGGTCTCAGGAGCCCGTTGCTTGGCAACGGTGAAAGTCACAATGACCCTAGGAGTGGCTTGTGCCTCGTGCATGCGCACTGGCGCAACTCGCACCTGGCTCTAGGAACTCAGGCTGATGGCACTTTAAGAAATGGTAGAGCTGCGGGCAGAGTCAAAAATCAATCTCTCCCATGGAAGTGTGAAAAAACTCCTCTAATTGGTCGAAAACATGAATGGGGCGGGAATAACTTCAAGGTTAGAATTCTGCTGCTCTTTACCTATAGGGGTTCCTCCCTTGGTTCCCCTCCCACAGAAGCATGGGAGCCCTCTCTCCTCTCTCCCCTCTCCTCCCCTCTCCCCTCTCCCCTCTCCTCCCCTCTCCCCTCTCCTCCCTCCCCCTCCCCCCTCCCCCCTCCCCCATCCCCCCTCTCCCCTCTCCCTCCCCCTCCCCCATTCCTGGGGTAAGAGAGTCCAAGGACCCGGGCACATCCAAGCCGGGAACTGGGAGCATCTTCGGGACATCCCCTCTCCATCCCCTGCTTACATTCCCAGCTGAAAGTTAGTTCTTTACTGTAATAGACGTACACCATGCATTCTTTAGCATTCCTGTGGATACAGATAGTCGATTTCTCTTCACCTTCACCTGATAAGGCAGACAATGCACATGGACAATCATTTCTTAGGGATATACTGTAAAACCAATTTATTTTCAAAAATAACCAAAGTGGACCTTTCAGATGTTAATTTCCCTAAGAAAACTACCTTGATATCACATGTAGATAGTTTACTTCTCTGCTCAGAGTGTAAGCAAGCCTCCCTAGAGGATGGAATGTCTTTATCATAACAACTAACTTCAAAGGGATACAAGGTCTCAAAAGAAAAACTTCAGTTCTGTCAGAAACAGTAAGATATTTAGGTCACCTAATATCAAAGGAAGGCTTTTCTTTCAATCTGGATAAAATGAAAGGAATATTAGTTGTCCCTACCCCGAAATCTAAGAAACAGTACAGAAGTTTTGGGGGATTAGGAGGATACTGCAGAAACTGGATTCCAACCTTTTCCTTTAAAACTCAACATTTATATCTTTTTTAAAAACAAGATAAGCCAGACCCCATGGAATAGACAGAGCAAAATTAGTTACCAATGGAAGAAATGTAAAGAGTGTTATAGATGGTCCAGTATTAGTACACCAAATTACAATATTCCCTTTTCATTGTTTGTTTATGAAAATCTGGGAAACACCTTAGGTGTTCTGATGCAAATCCATGAGATCAAAATATAGTAGGATACTATAGTCAACAGTTGGATTCCGCTGCTGGAGGATTCCCATTTGCCTGAAAAGAGTACCTGTTACTGTTCTCTCCCGGTTATAGTTGCTCTCTCTATTAATAAGAGCAACTGAAGAAATAATGATGAGATCGCTCCTCACTGTCTTTGTCACATTCAAAGAAGTGGGAATGCTTCTAACCTCAACAAACTCAACAGTGTTTGGTTAGTAGAATAACGGTTTATGAAGTTCTTTCTCTCTCTGCTCCCCATATTACAATTTCCAGATGGAATAATCGAAATGCTGTCACTCTTCTGCCCTGCCTTCAGATGGCATGCTGCATGATTGCATATTAACTGACCAGCTTCTTTCTCCTGGAAAGGACCTGCAAATAAACCCCTTACTAACACTAATGTTTGTGTTACAAATGTATCTTACTTAAAGGATTAAGTAAGATATATGTAATTTATCATGCAAGTAATGCTATAGCACCCTTGGCTTAGGAATTCAAAAGTGCATCCTTTCAGGAGCAATCTCAGCCCAAAAAGAAGAGTGAATAACGTTAATTAGAGCCTAGCAACCTGTAAAAGGAATGAATGCTAACATTGATACAGATAGCAGATATGCTTTCAGAATAGCTCAAGACTTTAAAAATGCTATGGAAACAAAGAAGATTTTTAACCTCTTCCAGTTAGTCCACAAAAAACACATGCCTCGTTTTGAAATTATTGGAAGCCATACTACCGCCAGAATCATTAACTGTTATCCAGATTCTAGGCCGTTAGAGTCAGACACTCCAGCAAGCATGTAAAATCAGTTAGCAGATAATATAGCAAAAAGGGCTACAGTAAAGATATCTGAATAAGAAAATTGACCCATTTTATTTTTAAGGAAGCACCTAATTTTGATATAAAATTATCTCAATACAGAGCTCCAAAAACAGAACAAGAGATTTGGGAATCAAAAGAGAAAATGTACTTCTCCAAGACTAAGCTATGATATGGTTCAAATTGTCTATGCTTACTTCTAACCAAAATAGTCATCTTTCTTTTCTGCAGGACTTAACTCCTGAGAGCCTCAACAAAAAGACAGCTTAGGGAAAACAGTATCTTGAAAAGGTTCTTCAACTGTTGCTTATAGAGTATACGATGACTGCAATAGCTGCCCAAAACACAATCCAGGGAAACCTTTATATAGTTCTCAACAAGTCCATATTCCTTTACCAAAAGGCTCTTTTGAGGCATGGCAGCTAGATTCTATTCAGCTACCACCATCACAAGAATATAAGTACATTCTTGTTTTCTCTTTGGATAGAAACATTTCCATACACAAGAGCAGCAGCCTTAGCAGTAAGTAGAATTCTCTTGAAGAAAATTATTTTAACTTACGAGTTCCTCTAGAACTTTATAATGACAAAGTTATTCATTTTACTGATATATAATCCAGTCAATATGAAAAGTCTGGCCCAGTCTCCAACATTTTCATTTTGCCTCTCACCTTTGTCATTTAGGTTAGCGTAACACACAAATGGAATAATTAAAACTCCATTGACAAAATTAACTGAGTTTTTTTTAAGTTCTTTGGCTAAAATCTCTTCCATTGGTTTTGCTTAACCTAATATCAGCCCCTTTTGGCAAACACCAGAGGTCTCCATTTGAAGGCATAACAGGCAGACCTATGAAATTGTCTCAAGGAAATTGGAAATGTATGATATTAAAAGGGGATATGCTGTATTATTGCAGTGGCCTTATAAGGCAGCTAACTATAAACTATAATTTAGGAAAAGACTCTTTCCATAGTAGGCTCCTAGGAGACAAAACACTCAAACATCACATATTTCAACCATGAAATTTTGTCTGTTAGAACCAATATCTTTCAATGGCCTCTCTAAGGCCAACATGGCGAAACCCTATCTCTACTAAAAAATACAGAAAGGAATCTTCTTAGGTGCTCCTAGCCAACCCTCGTGCCACTAAGCTGAAGGAATTGGATCCTGGATACATGCCACCCATTTAAGGAAAACAATTTTGCCAGTTGGGACTTTATCTCAAACAAGCGATATAAAATTAAAATTCTTTGGAACCAAGAAGGAGGAAAAGATAACATTTGAGGTAGTCAGCTTTCCTAACACCTCAGCCCAGGCCTGTATCTAAATAAACACAATATTGATAATTGTTAGTAGATAGGAAAGTTCCTGCCAAATTTCTTTCTTTTTGTTGCTAGTTCTTATGTTTTGTTGCTATTATCACCAGCTGTTGCCCATGAAACAAACCTCTGAGGACTGTGCCAGCATATGACAGGAATATTTGTTGGGTTCATAATGTCATGTACCTCTCTGGTTATTCTAGCCTACCATAGTGGGTATCCCCTTTCCAAGAACAAGATTGTATAGAACATCAGAAATAGATCCATGTTTCTCAAAACAATCATCAGTGCTGAACACCAGCAGGCCTAAGAATTAGGTACATCGCTGGCCTATTAAACACTTTCCAAAACAAAGGACATGGGAAGAGCTTTCCTGTATAAGAGACCAGTTTGTTAGCTTTCACTCTCATGCTGCCCCAATTGAAAGATAAAATACAACTGGATTTCGAAATAGTCCAACACACATTTGGAACAGTTGAATCTGCTTTACCCACTCTTTTGGTCAGCTTGGTCAGCTTGCCCTTTTATATGCTTACAAAAGAATCACACCAAAAATATGAGGCCCAATAACACTAAAAATATGAAACAGAGTCTTAAAAAACAGTGTGTCCACATCATTCAATTACAAATTAGTAATTGACTGCCTCTGAATGGGCACAGTGACCAGGCAATTATTCACTAGCTCCAAATAAAATGCCTTGGCGTGCAGTGCCAGTCCAGGACCAAAGTTACCACTACGATGCTTAGGATGATGTTCTTTAGGTTATGCTTCAGCACAAGGTCAAACACCCTTTGAAAGCCCACATATCTTTCTGTTTTACCATCTCATTGGGTTCATTCTATATTCCATTGGCATTAATCATTTTGGTATCAATAACTTAGGTACTTAATATAATCACTTAGCTTCCATCTTTTTTCCACAACTGGGTATTGAGTGTATACTATCACATAGAGGCCCTAATCAACTGTACAAAAAAAGACCCCAAATGACAGCTACATAAGTATTTCATTATTATACGATGAAGTCTATTTTATGAGAAAGGCTGTGTCACAAAACTATATGCCTTTAGACATACTCACTGCAGCCCAAGGAAGAACCTGCACTACCATGAAAACTGAGTGTTGTGTCTATATCCCAAATTAATTAGATAAAATTACTAAATTAATTGCTGATAGGAAAAGCTAAATAACCAACCTTTCAGATCCAACACCTTTTCTGAATGATTGGCTAAAGAGCTGGTTTGGACCTTGGGAAGCCTGGTGGCTTATTACTTATTCCAGGAATTATAATCATTTGTTGTGTTTTGTCATGTTTTTGTCCTCACTGCTGCTACTGCATTTGTTTTCCATGAAGTCAATGTACAGCCGAAAAAAACTAACAGTCATTCAAAAAATTACATTAATTAAAGATGTAGCCATATACCCTGACTCAGGTCACAAATTCACTTCTCTCATGTTGCTTTAAATTTGTCTTATATTCCACCAGCTTTGAAGCCTGAAAAGTTCCTCCTGCTGTAGAACGTGGCACTCTCCGAATGAACCTTGCTAGCGATTTAGGACTAAGCTCCATAACATAAAAAGAGCTAAATCATTTGAGTGTATCTATGACAATTTCTCCTAAAGATCTTGATTAAAATGTGAAATTAAATAATTTCAACTAAAAATAATTACAAATTAAAACTTCTGAAACTTGATATTATCCTGAGCCCTGAAGGGATGCAGCTTTGCAATGTGAGTCACACAATTTCTGCCTTTCTGTACTTAATTGAGACCAAATGGAACTAGAGAAACGACTCCCCTCTAGATCACTATCCCTCTTCATGGATGTATAAAGTATAAATAATCTTCCTTGGAATGTGCAATCTATAACCAACCAAGTCACTGTAGTGTATACGCCTG